TGAAAAATATGACAGGGTATGTCAACAGGGACGCCACTGATGGGAATTAAGAAATCCTTCATTATGGAAAAAATGTATTTCTATTCATACTTGGCATGTACCAAAATTGAAGAGAAAAGCCAGAGCGATTTCAGAGATATTGCGGAATAACTGATTTTTTTGTTAAATTTCAACATCCTGTATCTCAGAAACGAAGCTGTTACGGACCTATGTTCACATAAAGATTTTTTCTTAAAATAATCCAAGGATTATCGCCCTTTAGGATCAGCATTCAATTATGAAACACCCTGTATATAGAGGTCACCGAAATACTTGAAATAAAATGTCTTCGAAAATAATCTCCAGACCTTGTTGTCTAGTTTATATTCGTTTTTCAATAATGTTTCGAGCTATCATAGTACCCAAACCGGACAATGATGATATTCTCCATTGAAATGATTCTGAATGAATGAATAATTTCTCGACATTGGATGCATGTTTGAGGGTTAATCATATCTGCAGGAACACCACACCCGAATTCATATTGGGAATAGTTCATGCGTGATAGTGATACACTCTGCATTCACTGGAATTTTCGATATGTGCCTATTCAAACAACGAGTTTGCTATTGCTCTAATTTTCAATGGAAGCATACATCCAAAATTCACACCTCGGCTATGACGGAAATTCTAATTCTCACTGGCGTAGTGTTAGTTTATTTGTTGAATAAATAATAATCCGAAGTTAGGTACAATAAGCATGTAGGTACAGAAAGGGTGATTTTTATCATGTAGATGTAGAACGTTTCAAGAGCTAAACTAATATGGAATTATCCCAGTGAACGTAGACGTTCAGGGTTGGGATAATGTTTGGAACCAAGTAAATTTTTTTTTCACCACTAGCCAGGGACGTAGCAACAGGTGGTGCGAGTGGTGCCGAGCGCCAGGGCCCGGGAGCCGAAGGGCAAAACAGATTTTTGTCACAAATTTCACCCCCCCACATCTGTTCCTGAGGTTTCATTCAACTAGCAACGAAACTAACCCTAACAAACTCAAAAGCAATTGAACAAAATGAAATAATTGGATTGAAGACGAAACTCGCACAATTCGAAACAGTTGTGATTATAGTTATGGAATATAAAATTTCGAGCATCACAAAGATTGTTTCCAATGCACTGCAGAGTAAAAATCAAGATATTCAGAGAGCGTCAAAGCTCCTAGAAACTGCTTCAAAAGATATTGCAGATATCAGGGCAAACTTCGAAGGAGTTGTAAATGAAACAGCTGATTTAGCTCGTGGTTGGGGAATTCATCCGAGTTTTAAGAATCAAAGAGTTCGTAAAGTGAAAAAACATTCTGGTGGGTTGTCGTGTGACGAACGACTATCCAATGCCAAACAGAACTTTCGTGTGTCTGTGTTCAATGTAACGTTGGACGTTATTATATCACAACTCGACAATCGATTCAAAGGGCTGAACAGCGTAGTTCGAAGATTTGAAATACTTCTTCCTTCGGTTTTGAGAGAACGGAGTGATGCTGATTTGGTACTTCTCTCTGATGAGAAATTGATTAGCTTTTATTTCGATGATTTGTCGGATTCACTTTCACAAGAAATTTTGTCATTCAGGCGCATTTATAAAGATGAGATCAATGACATTTCAAACAATTCGATCGATCACTTGGCGAAATCAGTCATTTGCGATCGAATGATCTCGAGTTCATTCAAAGAAATATGCTGTGCTTTTATTCTCTTTCTAGCAATACCCGTCTCTGTTGCAAGTTCGAAGAGATCATTTTCAATCTTGAAATTGATTAAAAATTATTCGAGAAGTGAAATGTCGCAAAGCAGACTTTCTAGCTTAGCAATTTTGTCAATACAAAATGAGACAGCCAGGACATTAGAAATGATTTCATTGTATGCCAATCAAAAAGCAAGAGAAGTTGACTTTTTTCATCATAAATAGTTCGATTAGAATACGTTTTGTATTTGCGTTGAATCAGTTATTGGTTACATTCTGAGTTTGTTACTATTCGTGATACCTTTCACAAATAATTATTGTAATTATAATGTATTTTTCGTGTAATAAAATCATTATTATTTGAACTATTTCGTGTTATAATGAAGGGGGCCCGCTGTGGTCTTGCACCAGGGCCCTGTTTCGACTTGCAACGTCCCTACCACTAGCTGTAGATTCTACCAGTATTAACTGCTTTTGAAGGAGTAGAGTGTGTTCCTTATACCAAGGTAGTTTTTGTCATATTATGAACCAGTAGTCAATTAAGACACAGCCACATCTGTTATAATAAACCCGAATTCACTGTTCTGATGCTATATTCACAGGAATGGCAATCGAATCTAGTAGGTATTCATCAATAACGACTTATCATAAAATGCTGTCATGGTGACTAGATTTTAATTAGAATTTCAGATCCACTAAACTTTAATGATATAGATAGATATATTGCTAGTGGTAAAAAAATTTGATAAACCCCTTGGTAGCAATAAAAGCATATTATTACCACGGCTGAGGCCTCGGAATATAATCTTGGCCCCTGGGCGTTACCACCGATACCCAGTTCCCTCATGATTTCTTATAGCATGCTTTGTATACAGTGTGTCCCACTTACCATGCTCACCATGGGTATCTTTTTAACGGTGAGAGATACGAGGTCGGTTAAATGACACCAAATGTGGAGTTTGTCAAGGCCAACTATAATGTGAAAAAATATTTTGATAAAATCTATTCGTTTTTGTTTTATACGCAAAAATAGTAGATTGTTTTATTAGGATCAAAAGTGACACTTTGTATGACAAGCGAATTTTGCATTTGCGAGGCGGAGCGTTTAGCGAAGCCGAGCGAAAGCAAAATTTGCGAGTGGAACAAAGTCACTTTTGATCCGAATGAAACATGCTATTTTTTCTGCAACCGAAACAATTAACTCAAATAAATATGTGAAGTTACCACCAATGCCATACCATATGTATGCAATGCAACAAATATTGACAAATAATCCGTGTAAAGAGAACATTCTACCTGCATCAACGGCAGGTTCATTCAATGTTCAAGGATGTTCGAATTGTAGATTCAATATAAGTACAATCACAGAGTGACATATTTGTGTATGGACCAGGTGCTCTAATAGCAAATACCGCGCCAGTGCCAGCTATAGGAACAAGACGTGGAAAATGTTAGGTTAATGAGCATATCAACAATGATAATGGCGATTATTTACTCCTCTCTAAAATACAATGTTTTTCGCTTAATAATAAAATGAAGCTAAACAATATCGTTGTTTCGAGACAAAAAACTATTGCTTGCCGTGATTATTCAAAAACAAGTTATCCATCCCGAGAATAACGAATGAAATACAGATCAAGCAAGTATTTGAATCTTGAAGGCTTCCCTGACCAAACAAAAATACTTAGCTGAAATGTTTATAATTCCAATACTAAACTATAATAAGGTGTATTTATATCTCCAGCATGGGTATGAAATTCCAAATCTGCTGAAATCGGAAACAAATCAGGTATGCGTCTCAACCCAAATAACCAACCTTCACAATGTTGTTCATTCTTGATGACGTCCAGTACTTCCTTTTTAGTTCCTAGGAGCTAAAGTTCAACTTTAGCTCCTAGGAACTAAAATTCAACATTTGCTCCTAGGAACCAAATATGTTGCCTAGCAACCTACCTATTTTTGTGTCAGTAATAGAAACTTCAATTTAAGAGCTAATTTTGGTATCAAAATGGACGACTTTTGTGTCGGTTGCAGAAAAACAAATTTTGATCATTTTCATGTCTCCTCCGTAACTTCTTTATTTATGAAAATATTCAAATAGAAATTTTACATTCTCATGGCAGTTTTTCAAAGTGATTTCGAAAAAAATATGAAATTTATACCAACTCTTCTAGAATTTGAGATATCAGCACCAACTTTAGTTTTTCAAATGTAGGTCATAGCTCACTATGACTTAGTTACAAATAACTTTTTTTCTCTCACAGATGATATGTCGCAGTAATAGTTTTGTGCTGATAACAACGGAGTTATCGTCATTTATACCAAAACAAAAAATTATTTGCAAGCCGCTATCTTGAATTTATGAATTTTAACAAAAAAATAATGATCTCCGACCTCAAAAACCCCCACTCACCAATTTTGAATGGAATCGGACCAAATCTAGTCCGCCATCTTGAAGCAGCCATTTTTTTTAATTTCAACATAAATTCCATAACTCCGATCAACTTGAAATTTGGCAGGTGTTCATAATTTCGGTGACAATACATTGTGGAATTTTTGTTGAAATTAAAAAAAATGGCTGCTCCAAGATGGCGGACAAGATTTGGTCCGATTCCATTCAAACTTGGTAAGTGGGGGTTTTTGAGGTCGGAGATCTTCATTTTTTTGTTAAAATTCATAAATTCAAGATGGCGCCTCCCAAATAATTTTTTGTTTTTGTATAAATGACGATAACTCCGTTGTTATCAACACAAAACTATTACTGCGACATATCATCTGTAAGAGAAAGAAAAGTTATTTGTAACAAAGTCATAGTGAGCTATCACCTACTTTTGAAAAGTAAAGTTGGTGCTGATATCTCAAATTCTAGAAGAGTTGGTATAAGTTTCATATTTTTTTCGAAATCACTTTGAAAAACTGCCATGAGAATGTGAAATTCCTATTTGAATATTTTCATAAATAAAGAAGTTACGGAGGAGACATGAAAATGATCAAAATCTTTTTGCGTATAAAACAAAAACGAATAAATTTTATCAAAATATTTTTTCACATTATAGTTGGCCTTGACAAACTCCACATTTGGTGTCATTTAACCGACCTCGTATCTCTCACCGTTCAAAAAATACCCATGGTGAGCATGGTAAGTGGGACACACTGTATAGTATAATTTGTAGGAGTACTATTTCACTTGCATTTTATTAAAACTGAGAGAAATGAAAAAATCTTGATAAATGAATATTTTGTATTATTCTAGCTATAGATAACGTGAAATGAAACACTGCGCAAAATCACTGAATATATTATCGAGGTTTTGGTTTTCCAGCAACGAAAGCATCGAAATCGCCAAGTACATTTGACACTTCAGAGCTCATCCCAGTGACAGCACTCTTGGTACATTCATTTATATTAGTTGTGATCGAACTGAGAATCGTTTGTACAGTTTCGATCACAGTGAACATTATATTTGGAGGAACATGAAGTGAGCCCCTCCCCATTTCCAGAAGTGGTTGAACAAAACAACCCAGGTTTGTTGGACTACATTTGCTAACTTCCTCTCGAAGGGAATCAACATCAGCAGTTTCTTCCAGTATCTGAAAAAAAGACAAGAAACTTTCACTCGAAATTTTACCTACTTATCGATTGGGCATTATAATCCACGGATATATACATATATACAGGGTGTTTCATTACTATTTGGAAATATTTCAACGATAGAATCTCGAACTCAAAATATAAAGATTCAACCCAAATCACCTCTAGATCAAAAATGTGTCTCCTGTCTGAGATACAGGGTGTTTTATTAAAAAATGTTGTTTTCTGCCCAGTTCTTTAAAACCATTTGACGTACCACTTTCATATTTGGAGGGAAGTGTAGGTATTATACGTCCAACTGAATTATGTGAAATGAACTTTTCTAGCTATTACCAGAGGCGTACGACAGGGGCAAGTGACTGGTTGATCCTTCCCATATTCTACGGCACTGGCGGAATTGCAATTCAATCGGAATTTTTCGATTCTTCAATACCTTCTTCGTAGATAATGTCTCTTCATAGCGATGAAGTCATTATTTTTCGAGATATTTCAAGTTAAACATGAAGCAGAACAATTATTTTGATTTTAATGTGTATCAATAATGTCGATATTTTGGATCAATGGACAGCATTCATCAATCGAATGAAACTTCAATCCATATTAACATAAAAACATAACAGACGGGAGCTGTTACAGGGCGTTTTAAATTTCTTGATATATTACATAATTGAACACCCTGTAACAGCTCCTGTCTGTAATGTAATTATGTTTTTATTGTTAATATGGAATGAAGTTGCAATTTATTGATGAATACAATCCATTGATCCAAAATATTGACAAAATTAATGCACATTGAAATCAAAATGATTGTGCAGATTTATGTTTAACTTGAAATATCTCGAAAAATAATGACTTTATCGTCATGGAGAAGCAGCACAAAATCTACTTCAAAATTGTTGGAGAATCGAAAATTCGTGATAGAATTGCAATTCCGCCAGTGGCGTAGAATATAGGAGGGATCAACCAGTTGATTGCCCCTGTCGTACGCCTCTGGTGATAGCTAGAGAAGTTCATTTCACATAATTCAGTTGGGTGTATAATACCTACACATCTCTCCAAATATGAAAGTGATACGTCAAATAGTTTTGAAGAACTGGGCAAAAAACATTCCAAAATTTTTGAATAAAACACCCTGTAACTCAGACAGGAGACATATTTCATCTAGGTGATTTGGGTTGAATCTTCATATTTTGAGTTCGGGATTCTATGGTTGGAATATTTCCAATTAGTACTGACACACCCTGTATAATTGGAAGGGTAGTCGTTGCTGACTAGTTAGGTATCGATTAGTAAATAGTGAGGTTTCGCAGCAAGTGAAAGAGAACTATTTGAAGATTATCCAAGCTTTCGGAATTCAATTGATTCCATCATCAGGGAAGAATCTACGTGAGACTGACAGGAGTGACATCATATATTTGATTACTTCAAAAGAATGATAAAGATGCCTACGACGCAGGTGTCCCTACTGTTAAAAACTTAAAATTTCACGTCGATAATTTTCAGATTTCGAAATAATGTAATATCGTCTCAATATTGATTCGTCCTTTCTTCCGTCACAGCGAGAAATAGTGTATTATACCCGAGAAAAATATTAGATTTTAGCTCACGGTGTTTTGGCTCCCTCCGCTACGCGTCGGGAGACAACACAACCTAGAGCTGAAATCTACTACTATTTTCCCCTAGACTAGATCATGAAATATCTACGAGAACCGACGAAGAACACTATTTTTTGCAAAATACGCGAATTTGCTCTTTTTTCAATTTGCTCTAGCTCCTCACTCGTAAATCCTACATTCATAAGCAAGAACAATTATATGTAGAAAATTTCATCTACATCAATTTTTGTCAGAGTACTAGTTTTGCTAAAATGTATAGTTTCGGAGTTATGGGTAAGAAACTACAAGAGGTGCCAAAATTTCGTTATTTTCTACGGATATATCAGAACGCTTCAAGAAATTCTGTTCGCAAACTTATGATTCAGATTCAGCTTTCCCAGAAACATATAAAACCGCAGAGAAACCGGTTACTCGAATTTGTTCCACGTGCAAATACCCTTTTATTGGACAAGATAATGGTTATTTGGCAATGAAATTTGATCCTTTGAATACCTTGTCCAACGCATTTCGTGCCAATTTGGTGGCCTCGCTGGACTGCTCATCGAGACAACGAAGCATACCCTCCAGATTCATTGATACACCACTCTGCAGTTTCCTCAATCTGTCAACACCAGGATAGCCATCGATGTTCACTCCTGCTGCCAACGCCCTCTTTTTGATCTCCTCGAACCCAATCAGAGCGCTTTCCTGCATGGACTTCAACGTCTCCAACGTTTTGTCGTATTCCGTTTGGGCAGCCTGTTTCACTCTGTTCACAGAATCGTCGAGGTCACTTCTGCCTCTATCCAAGGTCTGGCTGACAGTTGATTCTAGTTTCCTCAATGCTTCTTCTGCTTCGTTTCCCGATACGTGGTCCTAAGTGAAAATGGACAAGATTCACCATTATACAGGGTGTTTCAGATTTAAATGTACTGGGTGCGCCAAATTGAACACTTCTAAAGGGAAAGTGCAATTCTCGAACCAGATGGAAAAATGTAAAAACTTCACAAACGATAAGATTTCCACAAAATTCTCAAACACACGACATGATTCGCTAACACAGTAGCTTCGTCAGGTGATATACTGGTACAATGAACTGAATTAACGTTGGCTTGCTTAACTTTTATATATCTTACTTTCCCAACCTGAAGGATTAGTTACCCGTGGACAGGTACGATAAACCTCCATTTTCGGAAATTAGCACAATACCTACATTAAAATACAGTATACCAGATTAACTTGAAAGAGTTGATAGCAAAAACATATTATTACTTACTAAGAAAACAAATTCAGCAGTGGTGAACTATTGAGGTCTTTATGATCATTAGGTAAAATGTCAACATTTTTGAGTTTGTTGATTTCTAATGATTCAAAATGATTGAGTTTCAGTTCTTCATTTTCTACGTGCAGAATTTCGAAATTAATCATCAAAACTATGGATTTCTTCTGATATATGGTTGGCGTATGTTGAATTTGTTTTCGTTTTCGTAAAATTCATCTGATGTTCATGAATGCGCTGATAACGTACGACCTGTCTAACCGATCTATACCTACAAGATCCACAGTTGAGTTTGTATACCCCTGATCGAATTTAGAAGTTTTGTCTTTATTATTCTTGATAAACCGTCCCAACGTGTTATTTGTTCTATATGCCACTTTTAAGTCCTGTTTATGTAGAAATGAAGCTAATTTCTTAGTTGATGATCCGAAATAGGTTGAAGTTCTATGATTTTGATTATTATTCTTGATGGTGGAATGAACTTCTTGAATAGCTTTATGATGAAGTTTTTCAGAAAGAATACTGTCTATCAAATTAACGTTGTATCCATTGTTGACTGCAATCTGTTTTATGATATTGAGTTCTTTATTGAAATTTACTTCCGTAAGAGGGACATTCACTAGCCTGTGTATCATACTATTAAATGCTGCAATTTTTATGTTGATAAGGGTGTGTTGAATTATTATGAATAGTGATATCAGTGTGGGAAGGTTTAAGGAAAACTGAAAAATCATGTTCATCGTCAATTTTACTTATTGTCAAATCTAAGAAATTGATTGAATTTTCAGTCTCTATTTCTATAGTAAATTTTATGATTGGATAAATAGTATATTTATATATTGATGGAAAGTGTCTAATTGTCTATTGGTTCCATTAAAGCATACTATAACGTCATCTACGTATCGATACCAATACAAACATTGTTTTATCAATGAATGTTTATGTATTATTCGCTCCAAGTTGTCCATGAAGATTTCAGCAAGTAAAGGGCGCAGTGGATTTCCCATAATCAACCTTTTTGACGCGGAATATATTTTGTTGTCAAATTGAAAGTATGAGTTTATGTTGTGGAATTGCGACCGTAACTTCTTTCACCCTTCCTGATTTATATCACCTCCAATATGGAGTTATAGATCACCTACGTTGGTTATTATTAGTAACGTTAAGATAATTGTTGGTGCTTGTATTGGGTCGTTACATTTCAGAGTGTTCTTAATTATGCCTTAATACTTTAGTCTCAATATTACCAATAATATCACAAAAGTGAATAGGAACTGTCATAATTTTGATTTTTTTGCACAGCTTACTTAACCGAAGCCTATAAATAAATAGTGAAGAATAAAATGAATTGAATGAGGAATTTCTGAACTCATCGACTATTTATTCTGTCAAACAAACAAACTCTGTCTGTCAAACTCAACAGCAAACAAAACTAGCCACCCGACCTGTAACTTTTTCAATTCTTGTCCGATATTGGTGAACTTTTGACCAAATCGTATATTTATCTTTTAGAATGTTAGCCTGAATATCAGTTCCTGTAAAAAGCTGATGACTTGATCATTATACAGGGGAAAACAGAAGGTACTCTTTCTCTCTTGTTTTCGGCTTAACGCCCTGTGGTGAAGGTGAGTAAATTTAGCTTCATTCTGTTTTGGATTGAAGTGTGATACCTTCTCAATGCTAATGGTTTTTGATTCACGTCGATAACCACTTTTTAAGAGGATACGAGTGCTTTGAAAAATAATTGACCTTTTTTATTTTAATTGACAATAAATTCAGAACCATTCGTTCGGCCTTGACACATAATTTTCTAGAGCTATGATTTGCCTTCCAAAGATAATTTTAAGGTGAGTTCTCAATGCAGCTTTTTTGCTTTTCGCGTCACGCATCACGTTTCTTACTGAGAACTGAGGAGTCTCAAGACGAATACGAATTTGCTATACAAATATCCATTTTTTATTTTGAAAACGGGAGCAGATTCGTTCCCTAAACGTCAAAGCTAAGTGAAAATTTGATATTTTCTCTATATACTTACCTTAAGTTCTCTTCTCCAAACCTTTTTTAAAACAAATTGTCACTGACAAATTGGTGAATTTTCCTTTTAGGCTCTCTGATAGGAAATAGTAATTTAGTGCGGAAATTGATTCTTTCCCGCACGCGACTGCCGTTGACACGAACGACTGCAACAAACAAACTGAAACTCTCATATTCCATCACCTATCATCTTATATTTTGCCATGTTATCATATCTTTGTTTTTCCGCAATGTTACGGGAAAATGACACTTCCCAAACTAAATTGCGTGCGGGTATAGGGTGAATCACGCACGCTTGTAGAAAAATTCTTTAAACGCAGTGACATTTTGGGGCAAATCATCTAATTTGTCCTTACTACACGTATATTGAAATAATATTCATATTTTTATTTTATAGAAACGAGGGGGACACACTCGTTTTGACTACAGGTCTACTTTTTGTTTATATTTTGTAATTGAACTTTTTTCGGTAACAGCTGAGAAAATGAGGTAGATGTAAGGGATATTAATTTCTCAAATTGTTAATAAGTTCATGTAGGCTCTCATTATTGTCAATGAAAATTGAAAAATGCAATACTTAAACACTAGTATCTTCTCTTCAGAATGAAATATTGACGTGAATAAAAAACTATTGTGTTAAGAAGGGATCAAACTTCAATTCAAAGCATGATGAAGCCAAGTTCAAGCACTCAATTTCGCCACAGGGCATTGAGAAGTAGAGGGTGGAAAATTAACTTTTGTTTTTCCCTGTATATATAATGGTCGAGTCAGCAGCTCACGGACAATTTTATAGAGGCTGACATTCCAGAACATTAATATACGATTTGATCAGAATCTCACAAAAATCGGACAAGGATTGAAAATGTTACAGGCTGAACAATTTGGGCAAATTTTTTGGTGGCCGGTATTTTGTCGGTGAGTGTATTATTGAAATAGACACGAATCATTTCTTCTCCAAATGACATCAAATCTGGCTCCCTTTTACTGCCTACACAGAAAAAGTTTTTTGCTATGCAACGTTACAAGTAATTCGGATCAAATTGGTAATCAAAATTGACAATGGATTAGGGTGAAACGAAAATGATGGATTATTTGTACTTTGCGTGAAATTTAAACGAATTTGGAGAAAAAATCATATGTTTCACATCGCATTAAATCTTGTACTTTTCAGCCTAGTGAAACAAAAGTTATTTGTTTAACTAGGCAGAAAAGTAGTAGATTGACTCCCGCGGCTGATAGTTCATAGCCGAGCGTAGCGATGCTAGGAATTCAGCCAAGGCAATCAATCTACATTTGCTGCCGTGTGACAGATAGAATTTTTTTCTCCGAGTGATATAAAATCAATGTTGTGTAATTTTTTTATTGAAAACTCTATCATTTTGTGTTCACCCAATGTCATTGTCAATTTTGTATACTAATTGCATTAGAATTTCTTGGAACGTTGCATAGCAACAAACTTTTTCTGTCTAGGCAGTAAAAGAACACTTTTTCTAACAGTAATAAAATTCTCCAGAATGATAAAAAATTAGATTCGGATATGTTTACTGACTGGAAAAAAAAAAACTTGTTTACCCTTGCGAGCACTGTAAAAATCAACACAACCGAGATGGAATATTTCATGATGATGGTTTTGAGGAAGTTTGAAGATTTAAACTCGTGCTAAAGTGATGCTGATTCATATTTATAGTTCGAAGGTGATAAATAGTCAAACGGTGGGATTTTTTCTGAAATAGTCATGTTTATGATAAGAAAAACGTTCCTACATGTCACAAAAAATTTGCTAATCGCGCAAAACGTGTTAACTTTAATGAGAACAAAATGCATTATGAGCCCAATTCATCGGTTCAGTGAATAATTATAGTTCGCACACAAGGTGCCTCAAGGATAATTTAAAAATATGATTATTATTTCAATAAATGTGTAGTAGGACAAATGAATTGATTTGCCCCAAAATGTTATTTCGTTTAACAAATATTTCTATCAGTGGATCTAAAAGGAAAATCCAACACTCAAAGAAATAGTATGGGTTGAATTGACAAAAAAATGTGTTTAATCAACAACATCATCATAATTGTTGGATATAGAACTACAATGATGGTACATTCAATTATTAGGTGATTGTCAAAACAATTGAGGAAAAATTGTACATGAACAAATTCAACGTCAACCAAAAATATTAGTTGGTTTTGATAATATTTTTGTGCTACAACCAATAATTTTTAAAAATTAGTCAAATCGAACTAGGAATAGTATTTCAACAACATTATAACTGTCCCTGAACTATCATAATAGCTCGCTCACTATTACATTTGGAAGACAAACGAATAGGAAGTAATAATGAACATATAAATATTCCAAATCAAACTAGAGATAGTATTTCAACTATATTATATCGTAACTGAAATATCATTACAGCTTGATCACTGTTAAAGTTGGTAATCAAACGAAAAGGAAGGTAAAGTCAACCTGCAACTATTTCAAATCACTCTAAAGATAGAATTTAAACTTACGACGGCGTATTAGCGCCACAATAACCTATTAATTTTTTTATCAGAATCTCAAAATTTTGAGATTTTTTCTCAAAATTTTGAGATTTGTTCTCAAAATTTTGAGGTTTTTTCTAAAAATTTTTAGATTTTTTCACAAAATTTTCAGAATTTTCAGGAATTTTTGCAATTTTTGCAATTTCTGCAATTTTCAGGAATTTTTGCAATTTTCAGGAATTCTTGCAATTTGTACACTTTTAGGAATTTTTGCAATTTTTGCAATTTTCAGGAATTTTTGCAATTCTTGCAACTTTCATGCCTGCAAAAATTGAGAAAATTGCAAAAATTCCTGAAAATTGCAAAAATCGCAAAAATGACTGAATATTGCAATAATCGCAAAAATGACTGAAAATTGCAAAAATCACAAAAATTCCTGAAAATTTCAAAAATCGCAAAAATGACTGTGTTTGAGATTCATCCTGTATATTTTATTGTATTTCACGACCCTGTACATCAATTTGATGATATGTTGTCATGGACAGTTTTTTGGGAGAATAAAATAATTCGACTTTTGATGTCATACAATTGTGTCTATTTGACTACATTTTTGATAAAAATAATTAATTAACTGACGAAGTAATATTGGTCCTTCGAGAAAACCGACCCAGTTCTATACGAAATACAGAAGACATAGAAATATTCACGATGGAGCGAAATGAATCGACGAGAAGGAAAACAGCAGGTATGAGGAATTTGGACACCAGTTATAGTTGGCCACCTGGTTTTGGAATTGGAGGTGTTGCCAATGTCAATGCCATAACTGAAAATTTTCCTGTCAGACCTTTAGAAGAAATCAGATCAATGACGACTAAACACTTCAAAGAGAATGGCCCTTCGGGAGATGATAACGACAAATCAGATAGACCTAGCCGAAGTAACCTTTCCCAGTCAGTGAAGTCAAAGTCAAAAATTTCTTCAAAAAGATCTTGTACGAACCATTCTAAAGCTAGTACAATCCTGCGAAAGAAAATGAAAGCTCTAGAAGAAGAAAAACTGAAGCAAGCTATAGAAATCAAGAAAATGGAAAATAAGCTGAAGCTATTGCAGTTAGAAGATGAAGTCCGCGACGCAGAAATTGAGGAATTGGAAAGTAAATCTGATTCTAAGTCTTCAGGCTATGACTACGAAGAGGAAGATGGAAAAAACGATCGCATTTCTGCGTGGGTGAAGGATATTCCAGTAGAAGCAGAAGCTACTGAAACAGGAAAAATGTCCGAGATGAAGATTCTGTGCCAAACCATTACGGATGCCATAAAAACCGTTGGTTCAAGTTCAAGACAAGATAAATTCGTATCAAGACAAACTATAGAAAAGGATTTTCCACAATTCGATGGTAACCCGGGAGACTGGCCGACCTTTATTGCCCAAGTACGTCGTATTTCTTCTTTGTGCGAGTTTTCCCCAGACGAGATGATGATCAAGATTCAACGAAGTCTAAGGGGTGAGGCGAAATATGCTGTGATGGGAATGATGCTTTCTCCAGATAATATTGAGTTGGTACTACAGACGCTGGAAATGAGGTTTGGTCGTCCAGAATTGATTATCGAGGGTCTTATTGATAAGGTAAAATCTTTTCCTACTATGAGAGAGCAGAATTTGGAAACTTTGATTCATTTTTCAAGTAATGTTCGATGTTTAGTTGCTACGATAAAATCGTTGAAAAATATAGGTCATCTTCAAAATCCTCAGCTTTTGAAGGAATTAGTTCAAAAGTTGCCGGAAACACTGAAACTTCGATGGGGTGAAGAAATAATGAGTAGGCACGGAGACATTGATTTGGAATATTTTTCAGAGTGGATTATACATTTTGCCACTGCAGCGAGCTATGTTAGTACACCAAAATTTCCAAAAACAGAATTACGATCTAAAAATTATACGACGATGACTAAAAAACCTGAAATTTCTTATGTCACATCTGATCCAAGTAATATTTCAGAATACAATCACTGTACTTATTGTCCGGACAAAGGCCACAATGTGAATAGCTGCCCGAAGCTGAAAGAAGATGATGTTGATATCAGATGGGATACAGTCACGAAGAGGAAATTATGTTTCTCCTGTCTGAAGAACAACCACCAAACTATGAGATGTAGGGCAAGAAAAGTATGTGGAGTTGATGGTTGTCAGCGGCGTCACCATAAGTATTTACATAAAGAGACACAGATAGCGGCGACTGCTGATCTTCCTAAGACCCTTCCCTCCCAGACTGTTTGTTCCTCTCAAGTTCCCTCTACGTCCCAGGTTCAGTCTTCTGTCTTAGCAGTAGGACATGGAAAAGGTAATATACTTTTACGCACAATCAAGGTTCGACTACATAGCGAGAATGACATGGTGGAAACCGTTGCCTTATGTGATGAAGCGTCAACTGTTTCGTTGATTGACAATTCCATCTTAGACAAACTTAGACTCAAAGGTAAGAGAGAAAGCCTTTGTATACAATGGACTAACAATTTGACGGTAACACATGACAATTCATTATGCTTGAGCTTAGGAATATCAGGAGCATTTGACGACTCTAAAATATTCACTTTAAAGGGTGTTAGATCTATTGGAAATTTGTCACTTCCAGAACAAATCATCCGACAGAAAGATTGGCAAACTCACGAGCATCTGAAAGGACTTCCTTTTTCGGAAATTGATGAGCGACCTATGTTACTTCTAGGGCAAGACAATATTGGACTGACTGTTGCCCGAAAAGTGATTCAAGGACCTGAGAATACTCCAATCGCCACGAAGACTAGTCTAGGATGGATCCTCCATGGAATAGATAATGGTGGTCAGATGAAGTCGAACCATTCTTTCCATATTTGCTGCAAAGACGCATCCGATGACTATCTGCATGACTTGGTGAAACAGTCGTTCACGACCGAATCATTTGGAGTATCAGTATCCTCAAAATCTAAATACTGCAGTTCAGACGAAAGAGCCATGAAAATAATGGAAGATACTGCAAAACGAGATGGTGACAAATTTGAGATTGGACTGCTCTGGAAGGAAGATAACATGGTACTACCTGAAAGTAAGAAGGTGGCCATCAACAGACTTATGTGCGTTGAGAGACATCTAGAACGCGATGAAAATTTGAAACAGAGATATTGCGAAAAAATTAGAAGTTATGTGGAAAAAGGATATGCGAAAAAACTAACAAAAGAAGAAGCTTCCGAAGAAAATGACCGATGTTGGTACTTGCCTCACTTTGGAGTGATCAACCCAAACAAGCCTACTAAGTTAAGACTAGTATTCGACGCGGCTGCTAAATCACATGGGGTGAGTTTAAATGATAACTTGTTAGCTGGACCCGACCTCCTTCAGAATTTGGTAGGAATATTGTTGAAATTCAGACAAAGAAAAATTGCATTTTGTGCCGATGTGCGAGAAATGTTCCATCAGGTACGAGTTAGACAGGAAGATCGAGATTCTCAGCGATTTTTATGGAAAGATGGAAACTCCAAGAAGCCAATAGAGGTATACCACATGCGGGTGATGACATTTGGGGCAACATGTTCACCTACAAGCGCCCAGTATATAAAAAATCTCAATGCTTCGAGAGAAACCAACGAAAAAAGGGTTTTAGATGCCATCATAGGTAAACATTACGTGGACGACTACCTTGACTGCTGCGATTCTGAAGAGGAGGCAGTAAAAATGATATCCGAAGTCAGCCGTATTCAGAAACTAGGTGGATTCGAGCTGGTGAGTTGGCTGTCTAACTCAGAAATGGTGATGGAAGCTCTTTCAACTGACGAACACTTGAACAAAGACTTGAATTTGAGTGGAGACTCTACAGTCAAAATTCTGGGACTGACATGGAATTCAAAGACAGATGATTTTTGTTTTAAATTAAAAAAGATGGATGAAGACAAATCACTTGGAACGACAAGGCCAACCAAAAGACATGTCCTGCGGATTGTGATGTCAGTTTTTGATCCACTAGGACTCGTAGTGAATCTGACGGTGAGAGGAAGAATCTTGATTCAAGACATATGGCGTTCTTGCATAGGATGGGATGACACCATTGATGAAGAACTATACAAAATTTGGAATTTATGGTTGAAAGATCTAGAAAAAGTAAGATATCTCAAAATTCCCAGATGCTATTCGACGAATCTT